GAATCAGTGAAATTCAATCGGTGTTTTATTAAGTTGCCACGCGTTCTTTCGTTGCGACAATTTTTCTTTTCAAATGTTACTCATCTAACTAAGTCGCATCTATTCGGAAATATCGTTGGAATTTATCAACTGGGGGCCTAACAGAGTAATGAGAGCGAAGAGATTCCTATGGTGATTCCTGCACGAATTCGCCGGTGAACTCGGATGAATCACGATCTCGTTCCTCCTCCTCCGCCCCACCCCCCCTCATTCCTCCTATTGCTTCGAACGGTGAGTACGAGCGATGCTTAAATTGTTTATTTTTGGATCGGCGAGACACTGTCCCTGATTAATATCATTAATTTCCTGGATTTCTACAGTAACGGTGAAAGTGACGGTTCTTTTTCTATTTCTGTTGATAGCGGTTTGATAAGACACGTGTGCTTGTGGTGTGGCCTCTCTGGTGCTGTTAGTGTTGTGTCTTTTGCGATCAAAAGTAATCAGTACCCGCCTTTCTTATCTGTAGGAGGAAATAAATGTTTAAGTATTTGATGATTATCAGAGGAAAGGATAAGTTAACAATGATTACCTGTATTTGTGATAATAATATTTTACCAAATTCTTAAGTTATTAAATGTATTTAATGAAATAAATTGAATAGATAAAATTATAGTTAATCACGTCCCTTTTTTTCAAATTTTTGAGATAAAGGAAACGTACCGGAAGACGGGTTTCAAATGTTGAAAAAGTTTCCCGCACGATAATATTTTGTGCTCAATATCACCTGTTGCGTGGGTGAGCAAGTTTGACGTTTTACGAGGAGTATGACTCGACGACCTACTTCGCCTATAGCATTGATGAGATACAGTTCGATCTATCAGAAGAAAAAAGAACACATACAAATTAAGTCGTACCAAACAAGGTCGTACTATAGAAAACCATTTCAGTTGCGTATCTAGTGATAAAAATATTTGTACAATATTCACCGTGATAATTGGTAATAGTTTTACGCAACAATGTGATAATTATAATAACTATTACGGGTCGTCCTTTATTGCGACCACCATTTAACACGACTATAAATGTTGACCAGAAACTGTTGCTAATCGTGCTATTTTAAAAAATGACATGCTTTAATAATTTCATTCTTATATATTCTCGATATTTCTGTTGAAATAAAACTTCGCGTACAAAAGTAAAAACATCATTTTACGACATAAGTAAATATTAAACAGTAATTTATTCAATTTTGTCCTTTTTTTTTTTTAAACGAATACATTAGTTCACTGTGACTTCATTTTCTTCGCACCTCCAGGGTTATTGAGTCTCTATTCAGTTGGTATTTGTTCATCAAATATTCTATCATTACACGGTCACGTGATGCATTCCCATTTGCATCATCCTTGATGTGTTCTACATAAGAGTCAGAAACATTTCCAGCATCCCTGTTTATTCCTGTCCCAGTGGTTGGTTTATTTTCGGGGTCTAATTTTCTTCTTTTCGACTTGAACTTCTCGGGATTCGTGTCCACGGTGACGAAACGTTTGCTCGGTTTTTTATCTGACCGTTTGGCTTCAATAGCAACAGCTCTGCGAGACTCCCTCCCTGTAATACTATCCTCCCTTTTATCCACCTCTATCTTGCCGTCGTCGCTGAAAAGTTTAGATTCGTTTCGCCGTACGTCTTCATTATTCGAAGCTTCTGTATTAATTATTCCCTCTGTCGAGCATTTGAGAATTTTCTTTTCAGTTAATTTCAAAGAAATCGTCTCTTTGTCTGAACTGCATTTATCCACCAAAGACTGCGTTATCGCAAGTTTGCTTTTCCGTATCTCGACTGAATTATCTGTTGCACATTTAACCGTATCCTCTATACTAGTTTGAAAACAGTTCTCTGCGGACTGTACTCTGAGTGAACTACTTTCAATAAATGGTCGTTTTTGCCTGTTCCTTAGCAGCAACTTATCATTAAATTGCTTTATCCACTGTATGTGACCGTCCTCGTCCACGGCGATTTTCTTACTCAAGATTTCTGATTTTTTGCATTCTTTTCCTGAAGTATCCTCTGATTCTTCTTTTGCATTCAGTTCCAACTGTTCTTCTTTCAAATCTTCGTTAACGTCGCTACTAAGAATTCAAAGATATTTGAAAATTATTACAGAATTTCTAATCGTATGCGTGTGGTACTTACATGTTATACTTTATTCCTTCTACACTTTCCGAATACGTAATGAATTTAAGTGTTCTTATATGTACGGTTTCCTCATTCTCGCAGACGTCACAATTCGTTTTACAAAACGGTATTATACGACCAAAATACTTACTGATCATTACGTGGCGACATCTACAGAAGATTAGTTCGAATGATATAATTTTGAAAATTTGCAAAAAAAATTGTTCCAATTTGAACTTCTTACTTTACTGAAAGACAATAAGATACGATTTTATCGTATTCGTTTAATCGTTTCTGGATGTGTTCCACATCGTTCATTTCTCTGTGGTTCTCAATGACTAGTTTCACAGAAGAATATTCTTTCATACTAAAATATATTCTACAATATGCTCGACCATTATCCGCGTGCGTTTGAGCACATTCCCTATAGTATTTAGCGATATTTTCAGGTACTGTCCAATAAATAATGCATCTGTTTAAATGAACAGTTTATAAATCAGTTAAGATAGTACATTAATAGGAACTGTTATTTTCTTTATCATATATGCAAACCTAATTGATTTTTTATGAATGAATCCATAATCATATGTTGTAATGATAACATAAGCCTCACCAGATATCCATTTATTTTCAATATTACGTCGTTTTCTATCATTCAGTTCTAAAATAAATCACAAGTATTTACCTCTAAATACAGTAGTACAGAAATTTTAATAATACAATCCATAATTTGCTCACTATAGTGACAGGCAAGCGTAGGTATGCCTAGAGTGTTTAATTTATTTTTTAATAATTCCACTGTAACTTCCTCTCTACAGTAAATAATTCCAAAACCTTTATGCATCTGAATATATAGATAATCCTGATAAATTTGTATTCCATACTTTTATGAGAGGACCCACTGATTTACCTTATGAGTAGAAGAACCTAAGAAACCCAGTACTTGCACAATAAAATTTTTGAGGTGATCAAATGGATGAGAAAGTATATCTAAAAACCATATATCATGGTGTACATTGATTTGTTGTACAGGAATTTTGAATACTCTTGGTGTTTTTAGTGTCAATAGTGTACAAATGTCTTCAATCACCTGTTGAAGTATTTCATTTAAAACATTAAGCACTTAATAATGGTATCATAATTTGATTTATTTTTAACTGAAGTTACCTTATAGGTAACAGTTGTAGTTACAGCAATTCTGGGAACATATCCATATATTTTAACAAATGTATTTATTCTTTTATAACAAGATGTATATTCATATCCCCATTGACTTAAACAATGTGCTTCATTGAATACAATGTAAGCTAATAATTTATGTTCTTTCAATGTACTTATAAGTTTCTGTTAATAAATTTTTAAATTAATTGAAAGTTGCTTTAATTATGAGTTAAGCTGACAAAATTAAAGTAACTGTTTACCTGAAAATATGTTATTACAGCCATATCAGGTGTTGCATATAATAATATGATTTTTGGGGAATTTGACGTTAAATCATTTAAAATATTATTCCTTTCACCTATAGCTATACGTTTATGTAATACACATGCATTAATCTGTTTGGTTCTTAAAAAATCTATTTCTTTCTGAAAATATTTAAGTATTTAACAGACGACTTTTTTAAATGTTTTATTAATATTTGAAAGGTATTTGAAGTTTTACCTTTATAAGAGATAACTTTGGAGAAAAAATAAGTGCAACTTTGCCTTCACTTAAAAAAATTGGTAATTGAAAGCAAAGAGATCTACCAAACCCAGGAGGCATAGATATACATACATCTTTCGAACCTACATTTTTTAAATGTATTTTTTAATATATCTTTGTTAATGAAATCTTACAATAATTTTGGCGGGAAAATATTTTTAACGCAATTTTAATATTTACGTAAACACATTTTATATATTTAAGATACTGTGTGCATTTAATGCAAAGGAGTATTTTTAATTCACAGCAAAAATTTTATGTTAAAAGGGACAATTAAAAGTCGTGTTAATTTAAAAGGAACACTAACCTTTACAAATCGAAACAATAGCTTGCTTCTGGATATCATTTTTGAATTTTTCATAACCAAACACTGATTTTAAGGCGTTCATCACACTCACATCTTCATCACTCATTTTCACACGTTTTATTAAACTATAAAAGTTAATTACTCCAAAAATAAAATGATTTTCGACGAGAACACTTTTAAAACTTTCATCTTGTACGCCTGATCACGAGAAACTAACCTTACTGGTCGAGAACAACGATATTTGAAATTCACTTTTACCGCCTAAATAATCCAACTAATCAAAAGCCGTGATTTTAATTGTACTTGCCAAGGCAATATATGAATAAAAAATTCTTTTTATTACAGATACAAAAGGATTAAACACATGCAATGAAGTATAATTTGAGTAGTTCAAAAGAATAAAGAGGATATAATGTCTTTAGTTTAACTACTTTTAATCAATTTGTCCTGCTTTGGCAAATGAATCTATATGTAAGTATTTCGGAAGTTAAGGGGAAAATATTCTGGATAATTATGGCTAATTTATATTTCAGAAACATAATGAAGAAATTCTGCACAATACTTCTTTTAATATGCGCGTCCACCGCTGAGTTACCCAATGATTGTAATGACCCTAATTGGCATTCAATTGAAACATTAGAGTCTGCCCGATTAAGGTGCGGGGAAGTTTTTGAAAATCGTTGCTATTGCATGGAAACGTGTTATGAGAATCACCATCAGTTTGTCGTCAATTGTACTAATTCAGCGTTCCATAGCACGACACCATTATCACATCTGCCGAACGAAACACAAGTAAGTCATACTAAAGATAAATTATTTTTCTTTATAATTGATAATAATTTCTGAAAATAAAATGACACATTTATTTCATTTTTAGGTGCTAATTTTCACCGGAAATTATATCCAAGAACTTCCATGGAATGTATTCGGCACTCTAGACAATTTGCCACACTTAAGGGTGATCGATATGTCCAATAATAAAATTCAAGAAATTCGAGGAAAGGCATACCATCACGTCCAACGTGTTGAGCGACTTATTTTAGATTCCAACGAGCTTTCATTGGATCCTGGAAGAAATCATCCCAGACTATTCTCTAATTTCGTGTCTCTTTTGGAACTTCATTTGACAAACGCCTTCGAGGATGGTGAACCGAGAGATCTTGCATCGACTTTACATGATATTTTTGTTAATAGGTAGCAAATTAATAAATTTCAATTAGATCGATAAATTTTTCGATGTATTAATAATATAGCACAATTTGTTTTTTTTGCAGTAATTTAACACAACTTATAAAGCTGCATTTAGAGCAAAATGAAATATCAGAGTTCAAGGATTTGAACGTGTTCTGTGATCTACCGAATCTTTTGGATATTTACTTGGGTGACAATGAGCTGACTGCTTTTCATTTTAACATATCATGCCTTCCTAAATTACGTTTCTTAGACCTTCAACGAAACCTGTTCACGAATATTGTCGAACGTGATTTGCACGCTATGGACGCGCTCATTGAACACAATCAAAGCATGACGGTGGACTTCACCGGAAATCCGCTTCAGTGTTCCTGCAAACTTAACCCCTTTGCAAAGTGGATGAAGACGACGAAAGTGTTCGTTCGCAATAAGGGCAGTTTAAAATGTATAGAAGGTACTGTAGTCGAATAAAAGTTTGTGTTTAATGAAATACAACGTATTTTTAGTAGGAGATTATATTTTATAATTAAATAATATCATTTCTTTAGGAGACGGAGTAGCTCTTAATATTCACGAAAGGAAGAATTGCACACCGAAACTGTTCTCGTCAGCTCGACGTGGTGCTACTGTCGTTCTATTTTTCCTGTCTATAGTATTGATAGGACTGGTGTGTGCGTTAATTTACGTGCAACGCGTGACACTGCAAAAGAAAATTGAGCCCATATTGGACTCGGTGAACAAGAGGGTTCGATACACCTCGATAGCAACTGGTGATACGCGCGAAGAAGTATAGGAGACGAGCAAATAGTATAAGCAAAGCGTCCCTTTGATTAGGGATTAACAGAGAAAGCAATTAACATTATCTGAAAAGTCGATTATTTCTAAAAGAGTCAGCTATTTTTAAACTGTTGAGAAGTTCCATTTTCTTTATTGTATACTACGCGAATGTATCATTTTTTTTATATTATTAAGTCTAAACCCGAAACAATATGATATGGCATTAATATTTATAATACAATACATAGGGAGTACATTAGAATTCATGAAAATGAATAGATATATCGTTAGATACAATTTTCCTAAGCTGTTTGTTTGAACATTAACACGCTGGACTTGTTGAATTAATAATTCTAGACGCGTGTAATTTTGATATTGTTATTGCCTCGTACATGTCTAGTGCCGAATAAATGTTATATATATTTGTACTTTCATGTGTATTCATTGTCGTTATCTCGTTATGTCGTATTTTAAATGTAACCTGATTCCGAATTTACTCATGATGGTAATCCATTAACTGAACCATAAAAAAAGAAACATACACCTACCCTAGTATTCTTAGATTGTCTACAGTTTCTTATCATGGCCTATCAGACTATGGACATCTTGACAAAGATTAGATAATACTTCAGAGCACCTGAACGTCCACAGTATGTCTTATAATGCTCTTTCAATTTTAAGTGCATTAGTGAATGAAACGTTTTTTTCTTTAATAACAAAGAATGCCATTAACAAAACGTCTTCGTCTCGACGAAATTTATACATCGTTCCCAGAGCTGGGACCTACAGTCCCGGATGGTGGATACGCATGGATCGTTCTTTGTGGAGTATTTCTTGTACAGGTATACAATTCAGATGTTACAGTACAAATGGAATAATAAACACAAACGGCGTTTTCAATTTCTTGTTGATTTAGTCAAACTTAATATTAAGAATCATTTATACAGGGTATTTAGAACATAAGTAGTTATTAATTGTTCAAAAATAATACTTCAAAGTACTTGTAAAAAAGTAAAAGGTTGATAAAACAACAACAGAAGTAAACCATTTATTTGCAGGTATTATAATGTGATCAACTACAGTACCAGTCAATATTTTTTATGAAATCAAAACGAAATTTTATCGTTTCATTGCAAATATGTGCAATCATTACATTATTAAGAATATTAGGTAAGTATAAAGCCCCTCCTGTGTTGTTGATCTTCTAAACACCCTGTATAATCATGTCTTAAATACTAATCCATTTTTTCAAAGCTTTGACTCTAATGATATGACAACAGTTACAACATTATTCTTGCAGATGACTGTCCCAAGTGTACTAGCAATGTATGGAATAGTATTGGCGTATATACGTGAAAATAAAACCACAGATTTTGATATGTGGAGTGAGAAAATTATTTTGACACCTATAATATTTACTGCCTTTTGGAATTTAGCAGGTATACTGTTAAATTAATCACAAGATTAATTACTTTCTTGACATTGTATCATTTCTTTTAGATCCTTGGACGAGGATGATCGTGAACATAGCATCAATTCCTCGTTTATTGGGAATAACAGGAGTAATTCTTTTGGCGGTTGGGATAATAGCATCCGGGTATCTTGCAACCGGTGGAGTTGGTGTTTATTTGGCCAGTACTAGCGCAGGCGCAGTGATGGGTATAGGCGCCAGTTTTACAATGGTCCTAAGCGACTACATTTTGAGAAAATACTTCAGAAAGAAGCTTCTTATAGCTTTGACTCTGAGGAACGTTGGAGCTTCGTTCGGTCTCGTGCTTATTCCAAGTATCACAAATTTGCTTTTGCATGAAGCTAAGTTGAAAGTTGGTCTGCAGCTAATGACGACAGTGCTGTTGCCTACCGTGCTTGGAACGCTAACATTTCGGTTGCCTTCTCTGCAACAAACTTCTCCTTACAGGTTCTTGTCAGAGATGTTTTAAATAGAAATCATAAAAATATAGAAATCAGAGAAACTTTGGACGACAATAGACAGATGGTAATTTTAATATTAAACAATCACTTACAATTTACAGTCTACTGTTGTCGACTGAAGAAGACACTGAACTCCCTATAAGAATCGCTTCAGATGATCCTAAGGATTTGCAAGATTCAAGCAGTCAAGATTACATAGGAAATTTCGACTATGTTCAAGCTGAAGAAACAGCGCATAGTGGAGGATTGTTGAACGAAGGGAATAACATTTATGCTTATGAGGAACTGGATGAGGATGTGGATTTATTTGTAAATCCTGTTGTTCATTCAAACAACCAATGTAACCATCAACTTCGAGCTCTCGCGAATTTTCAATTATGGGCTGCAATAATTGGTTGGGTTGGAATGAAAGCATCAGCTCTTTTCTTCTGGCTTCTGTTGCCTGCCTTATCCTATGAAATTGTAAGCAAATCTTACTTTTGGATGTCACTATCCATTATGGCTGGTTTCAGTACCTTTTTACCGAATCTTGTCAGTTACAAAGTTTTAAAGCTTACAAATCAGAATAGAAGATTATACTTTGGAACAGCATCTTGGCTTTCTGGTGTCAGTTTAATAGGCATGTAGTATCTCTGATTGCATTTTTATTGTATTTTTTGAAAAATATGTTCGTAATATTTGTTTTGTGTCACATGTTTGTTTTCAGGTCTAATTTATGCAGCCACCTACCCATGGATGATAATTTTTGCTTTTTTGGGTGGAATTAGTCTTGGTAGTTTATCCATTTGTCAGGATTTGGCACTATATGACGTTCTTGGTTCTGAAACAGTTCGTTCCGTTCACAAAGGATTCTCAACTGTTGTGGGTCTATGCATTTTCATATTTTGTTTCGTACGCAGTAAGTTCTCGTAACAAAATTTTATTTCGTAAAAGAACGGATTAAACAAGTGAATTACAAACGGAAGGATGATTGCGGGAAACGAGTCACGTACAAATAAATTTCTGATTACAGACGTGCACTTCTGCCTGAGTCTTACGGCACTCTTACAATTTCTCGGTGGACTCTATTGGATCTCGTCCCCATTTCTGAATTTAATTAAAGCCATTCGTTACAGATCTCGAACGATGAATAACGCAAGTAGAGACGAGACGTGAGATATAAGATAATTCTACAGCATTAACGTACCTATATTTAAGAATATCGATTTTATATTATATCTTAACTTAAAGGTATTTACAAAAGTATTTATATCGATCACAGTAATCTGTTCTCTCTGAATTCGTCTAAAAATAAAAATAGTTTATATATAAACTTGTAAAAATAGACATTTTTTAAAAATTGAAAAATAGGCATCAAATATTATCTAATAAAAAAAGAATAAATATAATTGTATTATTGTGATAGTATCACGAATAAATTTTTCTTTTTTTTTCATTGATTTTTTTGTTACTTATATGTGCGTATATTTATATGTACATGTATACGCATATATGGACATATAGATATACACGAATAAAATATGTACTTTTTTCAAATTGGATATATTGTCCTATAACGATCATAGAACAAGTGTGATAACGTTTAGTTCCTAAATTACTTATAAATATATTTTTGCACATACACGGAATAAATTGTCTTTAAAATAACAACAATCTTATTCCTCTATGAGTGGTGAATATGTATAAATATGTATTTATATATGTATATATCGCGTACTGATGGTATCTATTCAAAATATCAAGAACAGAAGGAGGTATGGAACTTTTAATATTAATATATTGCTACGAATTTAGTAACAATTATGGGAACGCGATGCGAACGTAACAATATCATTCGAATCGATATGCACACATTGAGATCGTAAAATCGGTCTCTTATTATTTAAACAGACTTACATAACGATTTTGTACCTTGTTCGCCAATTTCTTTATAAATGATTTTATTCGTTAAGATTATCCATTTGCCTACGAAATATTGCTAAACATACTGATAGGTATTCTAAACTCCATTATTACTGTTTTCAACTTTTTTCTTACGTGTAAAACGAAATTTTGCAATTTGTGTCATTTTCAAGCGACATGCTATCATACTGATTTCATCCCATTATAAAAATAGATAGTCCAAAACGTCGTGGATAAACGATCGCTATGAGTATATGATTTTATAAATAAAATATCCATTTAACTATTCTCTTTGTTGTCGTTCGACTATGTGTATGAACATACTGAACAAAAGAAGTATATTCATATTTTTTTCATGATAATTTCTGAAAATATTCTTATTAAGGTGTTTTCTGAAGTGTTTTCTCAGGGCTCACATTTAACAACACATGAAAACTTGATTCTAATATAGGGCACGAGAGATATTCGTATACTAATAATCCAAGGGAAAACATCTTTAAAAATTTGATTCTTTAAGTTACATTAAAGACATACGTATTTAAAATTTAAACTTGCACGATTCAATCTGAGTCCTTGAGTTCCAAGAAATGTTTACATATCACCAAGCTCAGGATCTTTGTCCTTCATCGTACTGGGTCCTGCGTTGTCTGACGATTTCGAACAAAAACCATTTGGCATTCGACTTAAGTGTTTGTAACTGCTAACCGGTCTTGGATTGTCCAACTGATCGTATTCTGACTCGTTGTTTTGCTTAATTTCATCGTAAACGTGCTCAATCTTCTTCCCATCCATTTCGTCGATACTATGATATATATTAAGATTTGGATTTCCCATATCTGCATCTCTATTTTTCAGATCGTATCGATTTAATGTTCCTAGAACAAATCAAAGAATATGTAAGTACTTCTTAAAAAAGAAACACAGTTCGACAATTTTTTTGATATTCATAAAATTTACCTTTACAATCGTCTTCATCGTCCATACAACTGCTTAACCCAAGTTTAGCCTTTTCGTTATTTATTTTCTTGCTTGTTCCGAGGTTATTTCTGAACTGGAAGTTGTTTAGTAAAGTGGTAGTTCCATCGTCAAACTTCGAGGAACCTTGATACGCGTACACGGGATTATCAAACTGAGTTTGTTCTGTAAAAAAATGCACGCATATTGATTTTTCACCAATTGCAAATTGAAAAATTTCTTTAAACAATATATATACCTGGCGGAGAAGCAGGTTCAGCGGTATATTGCACTTGTGCTATTTCATTCTTCAAATCTGCTACTCTGCGTCGATGGTATAACCAACCAGCGAAAGTCATTGCTATAACAACTATCGCGGCAAAGAAAAATCCTGCTACTATACTACCATAGCCGCCTGTATCCTGTTCTTGAGTATTACGCGAAAATAATTCTTCGTCACAATTTGGACCTAAAAAATATCCCACTATCAGTTAAGATGTTCGATATAAAACAATATCGACAGATTTCAAATATGCTTACCGGTGTATCCGTGTTTGCAAGAACAACCTTCAATAGGATGACATGCGTAGAAATCGTTCTTGCAATCGCAGGGTTCCATACAATGATCACCATAATAACCTTCTGGGCAAACTATATTACGAATAAATAAAAAATGTGTATTATAGCATGTTACCAACTTTTCCCTTCAATATAATTTTGTCACATTCTTTTCACTTACCCTCAGCGCATTTGGTTCCAATCCAACCAGGTGCACAACGACAGTGACCATCGTTAGATCTGCATTTACCTCCATGTTGGCATGTGCAATGTTGACTACAATTCATGCCGTACATCCCTTCTGGACAAGGTGTCTGACAATGGTCACCTTGCCAACCTGGTCGACATTGGCACACACCTGAAATCATAATATTATATTTAAAAAAGGAGAAAATTAAAAAGTGTTATAAGAAACTATACCTGTCACGTGATGACATTCTCCGCCGTTCTTGCAACGGCACTGTTTGGCACAATTTAACCCGTAACGATTTGGTGGGCAAGGATGCTCACAAGTTAAGCCTAAGTATCCAGGTCGACAAACGTATTCACCAGTAACATGATCGCACGTCATATTCCCTGAAAGATGAAATATCCTATAAATCGTAAATTCTATATTGTACAAATATCGTATCTTTCAATTAATCGTTATATTTCTATTGATTAATACGAAATAAACAATGTCTGCTTCGTTTCAGTCTATATGAGTTGTACTACAATTGTAGCAGGTGTTACTATTACACCAAAAATATCGACTTACCATTTTCTTTGAAGTTTTTGAGCAAGAGTATTAGATAAAAAATGGGTGAATAAATTATTTCATTAATGATTAAAGCATTATATCACTACGTTTCTGTTAAAACAATTAGTGCAAATTATACATATGTACATGCTCTACTATACACTGCAAAATATTTGAATTAATGAACTTCTATAATGCAAACTACATATTGTATGACAAGAAATATAAAATTGCACTTCATGCGAAAAATTGCAGACAAAATATATTAATAATAATAATTATTCGTCAGCAGAACTGCGAGAGCTTAATTTATTTCACCTTCACCTGGATTTCTTGTTCTTACCTTGCGTTTTCTCTGGACACTGTTCCTTACAGCGGACACCGTACCACCCTTCTTTGCATGGTAGAGAACAGTCAGGCCCCTCCCAGCCTCTGGCACAGATACAAATGCCTGTTTCTGGGTCGCATGAACTATTGTTCATACATTCACAATGTGAATGACAGTCATTACCATAAAGCCCTTCTGGACACTTTGTCTCGCAACGGATTCCTGTTTTTATATCGTTAAAATGAAAATATTATCGAAGATCAAATCGCCATTAAACTTCTTTTTAAAGACACTGAATTAAATATCAAAGTGCATAAATATATTATTAAACGATTTGAAAACAGACAGGAAAACTGTATATGATAGTTAAAAATCTCTGCTTTGTTACTCTACATGATAGATGTGGATAATGAAGAGAATAGGGTATTAAGAATGTTACTACGAGGAAAGAATAGGTGAGCAAAATTTCATGTATGGCGATTGATCGACGAATTAAAGGAGGACACAAACCTCGCCACTCTGGCTGACAGAGGCAACGACCAGTGGCAGAATCACAGCCTAGACTATTCTCCTTCTGGCAATCACAGACCTGAGCACATCCCAGCCCAAAAAATCCATTCTCGCAACGATCTTGGCACAATTCGCCGGTGAAGCCAGCTGCACACGTGCATGTGCCTGCAGGTGTTTAAAAAGGGTGACGTGTTTAGGTGCAGGTGCAACGAGGTGTAAATAAGAGATCAGAAATGAAAAGTGTGATCCTCGAGAACGTGAGAAACCAAATTCAAAAAGAAACAATAATACCAGTATAAAATAAATGATTTTATAAAGAAATAATACGTAGTCAAGGATCCTTAGAAATTAATGCTTTCATGTTAATAATTAGAAGCATCAATTTTTTCAGGAATTAGAAACAAAGTCGTTGCAACCAGCCCCCTTACCATTTTGCGGATTGCAGGCAGCACTGTTAAAGCATTTGCATTTGCCCTCGCAGTCCTTGCCGTACGAAGTGTCGTCGCAGGGACGATCGCAAGAAACACCAACCCATCCTGACGAAACGTAATAATGAAACATGCAAGAACAAAATTGAACTTGACGTAAAACAAGGTAACGATTAAATCGAATAATTTTAATCAAATTCCTGACTCCAATGTCTACTTACCTTACTTGAATTTAAATAATTTTTACAAGTCTACAAATTTGCAAATAACAAGCTATTAGGAACTACAATTAGTGGCAGCTTTAACAAATTCTCATGCGTTTCAGGATCGTACAACTATGTTAATAAATACGTCTAAATGAACGAAACGAAAATCGAAAAACAAAGACAGTATATAAATCGTACGATCGTAAGATGCTTAATCATTTCAAGAATACCTCGACAGCTTCTTGAATGACTCGATCCGAAATGATATCTTTCATTTTTAAATTATTCAATTTTCAATATTTGTTATCTTTACAATTGCATAAGTGTTTAAACAAAAAATTTAAGAATTACCTGCTGTACAGTTGCACCGTCCATTCTCAGGTGAACAAGTGGCACCATTCTTGCAAACGCATTTTTGTGCACAATTCTCGCCATAAGTGTTGACAGGGCATACTTCGTTACAATCCTCACCTCTGTATCCAGCCGCGCAAGTGCAGGTTCCATTTATAGGAGAGCATTGCGCGTTGTTCTTGCAGTTACAGCGAGTTTGACAGCCTTTTCCATACATATAAAGTGGGCAAGGTCTGGAACAGGTCTCACCATCCCATCCAGTCTTACAGATACACTTTCCAGTCCAAGGATGACACATTTCCGTGTTCTCGGCGTCACATTCGCAAACCTAGCAATATTTATAAGCATTTAATTAGATTCTTAATATTACAGACATAACAAAATAACGAATATTATATTCGCTGTTACTTACCTTTGAACACTTGGGCCCCCATAGATTATCCTGACAGGCACGTATATTGCACTCCTTACCCATCCAACCAGGGCTACAGGTACAGGTTCCGTCAATTGTAGAACAGACTGCATCATTTTCGCAGGTACAATTGTTTGTACAGTTCAAACCGAACGTTCCCACAGGACATATTTTTAAACACTACAAAACATTATTATCTTTGCAATTAAGCGAGCAAAATATTACTTAACCTCTGGAATACTAATACTAATTTTTTGCAACGGTTAATAATTGAGCCTACAGCTAACAGTATTCACCTTTGTGCCATAATAGCCGGGTTTACATTCGCATTCTCCAGTGATGTGATGACAGCCACCCTCGTTATAACAGTCACACTCTTTAGAGCAGTTTTTACCCCAGAAACCTTCTGGACAACGATTCGCACAAACCGAACCCTATAATACAGAGTCCAATTTAAATAATACATTTGCACATTTACGAACTCTATGATAAGCCTTATTGATCGATATTTACAATCCATCCAGATGTACAGTAGCATTGACCAGTTGTAGGATTACAAGAACCACCATTCTGACACTTGCACTCTGATTTGCATTCGTCACCGTGCTTTCCAGGCGGGCACAAATCATCACAGCTGAAGAGAAACGAATTCATCAAATGATTCAGAAACTGAACTGTCGATATTGAACGGAATTGGTGACAGAGTGACGAGGACTTACAGTGGTCCTGTGTAGCCAGGAGCACAATGACACTCGCCAGAAATGTGATGGCAGCTTCCACCGTTTTTGCAACGACACTCTTCGCCACAGTCTTGTCCATATCGATTGGAAGGACACTTCAACTGGCAGTATTTGCCATCCCAACCCCTGGTGCACAAGCATTTGCCATCGAAAGGATCACAAGAGGCTCCGTTTTGGCACATGCAGTCCAGTTCGCAAGATTTGCCCCATTTTCCCGGTGGGCATTCTGTTTAAGCGAATATATACTTTGAAACACTTTCAACGTTCGCAGTAACAAATGAAAGAAAGAATTATTATTCAAACTTTTTCTCTGAAACTGCCAAATGACAATTCCATGCCTCTAACTCAACATACAGGGTGCTTTAAAAGAATGTTAACACTCATATGAAAGTAAATTTTTTAGAAAAACACCACTGCTAACACAGTGTATCATACTAATAAATGTAGTTTCTCTTGAAAGAGTCTCCAAAGGCTATGCATTAAAATTAAACGTATTACTTTCTGAGCAACTAAGAAGACTGTCTTGCATCAACGATGAAAGATATATAATGCAAGAGTAGTATCTTCACACAGATATTTGAACCGAATACCCCAATTATTTTGAACGTTGTGTCAGACAAAAAACAAGGTCCAACGCTTACTATAATCGCATAACGGGCCTCCGTATCCTGACTCACACTTGCAGACATCAGGAGCGAAACAAGTGCCATGAACGCAGTCCTTGGAGCAGATAGGAATGCAACGATCACCATTGGTAGTCTCTGTGTAGCCTTTGCAGCATTCTTCGACCGGTCTCTGCTTCGTTATTTTCTGCATAACAAGTTGAAAATTAACATCAGACACTGAGACCTTTATTTTAATATGATAAGGAAAAATAAAGGAAAGATTTATTCACCTGTTCCTTGTACACAGTCTTGAATACCACCTTATATTTGGAGCATCTCGGTGGAAAGCTGAAGCACCAAGTGTTCTCCCGTATACTGTAAGGTTTCTGCTCCGATGTATTCACCGTTACCGTGTACCTGACACCAGTCAAGTGTTAAAAGCCAGCGTTACGAGTCGTGAAAAAAACGGGATACTCGAGAACGATCGGTATGATTAAAGGACCTATCAATTCTGTTAATCTTATTTCTTTGGGAAATTGTCAAACGTATTCTAAGGCTCAATATCGAAACACGTGTAACAATTTCCTTACATTGTTTTTTATCATAATTCAAAAAATTTTTAACGAAACAAAAAAGTAATTAAATTAACCAAATATTCCACGTTTTGTCGCATTTGATTAATCTTTTGCATTTCTACCAGTTGTTTTGCTGTGGAACAACTATATCATATTACTTTCACTGGTAGCTGCCTGGATTTGAAGCGAAACCACCTTTTAAATTCTTCACTCATTTGTGTTACAACAACACATTTTCTTGAAATTATATAACTGAGAATTATTTATGAGTATTTGTAATATATATTTTTTTAAATAACCAAATCTCGTCCACTTACGTTTCTTGTACGATGCATATATTTGGCCCTTCCAGGGCGTAAACCACTCCCAAAGCTGTGATAACAGCAAACAAATGGATCGACGATGCCATCTTACCACTTTCAGTGTAACGAACAATTACGAGTGTATCTTTGTACGTATCTCACATTGCTTCGAGAATGTCTCTCGGTGCATTCGAGTATTTCACGATCCCTCTTCTCTTCGGATTACGTTTTCATACGTTCCATATGATCAGCATACTACTAAATCTGGAAACGAAAGGAGTCAGGTGGGTTAATTGGACATTATTCATTATTTTCTTGTGAAATGAAAGAACATTGGTGAAAGACAAAGGACGTGTAAAAACGCGTCTCGGAGCATGTTTGTCACGCGTCCGGAGGAATTCTCCGCGACTTTAGACTTTGTACCCTGAGTTGTGTATCACGGGCTATCCTTTTTATCAGGGGTCTCTTATTGTGCGACAAATCTCGTATGATTATTAAAATGGAAATGATTTCGTCGAATCTCATTAAACGGACAAAGTTTGTCTTTGAAAAATTCCGATTAAAATATTGTACCTTGACGAAGACAGGGCATTTTTTCCTGAAATAATGATTCAACGAGGTTTTGGAATGCTCTTATTTTGACTTTTTTTATAAGTCATCTTATTTTTCGTTCTGAGATATTCTGACTTTTTAACGATATCGTTTTTCTTGAGAAGTTGAAATGGACAGAGAAATTCACGAGCATGTGCTCCCATTACACGTTGAGTCACATGAAAAAAATTGCACACGATTGTTGAAAGCTGATTACAACTTCCGTGTCGTCGTCTTCAATTTGCCGAATAGAAAATTTTATGTCGGCCATGCTTCGAGCGGCACTTGCGCCCGGAAAAATAAAAATTACATATTTTAACTTGGAAACAACTGTTATCTGTATGTTTTCCCAACAGTACGGGTTCAGTTCTCCGTTGCTACTACCTAAATGTTTAATGTTTTTGTTATCTAATTATTTGGGGAAAAGTAAGGGTACTTTAGTCGTTTAAGTATTTATATAACATTTAGATTAGGTTAGGTTAACGTTTTCAAGGATACACTCCTTATACTTAAATAATATTATTAAATTAGTTTCATAACAATTCAAACATAGACTTTTTTCTGTATGAAAAAATCATGTCTACATGTAGACGCGTTCAAGTCGCCTTCTCAGTCATATGTGGTTCAGCGGGCAGTGAACGTGTTACGTCAGGTTAGCTTAACTTAGGTCAGTTCAGGTGATCTCATAATCTAGTTACCTACTTATTGTCAGATATTTGAAAACGTTCGAATGCTCTAATCTTTGAAAAACAACTGAGTATTCGAACATTCTAAATTTAAATGCTTATATCACAAGTTTTCAACTTTCACGCGAATTAACAATGTATTTATTCGACAGCTGCGCAATTAATTAAACGAGCAGTGGTTCGTGATATAGGTTAAGTTAGGGAAACCGTTCGCTGTCATTCAGCAAAATCTTTGTGAATCATTCAAGATCACGAGTCTGGAGCACGTTTTTTTTACTGCCAACAAGTGACTCCGGATTTATGATTCATGTTTGAGCATGTGTAAAGTGAGAATCGAATGACTCTACGACCGGAAGTTGTAAAGCGTCAACTAAATGAGAAGAACGCGAAGGAGATTGAATTACTGGTTCGTTCCATGCCCGGCGATATGTCGACCGCCAAAAACGTATAACGTTTCGCATTTATCGAAGGATCGGCCGAACGAGATAGATAAATCGATATTTACACTCTACTGTGTTCAAGTCAATATTTGTATACACGCGTAATTTGTACACAGAAATGGAGTGGTTAGATCATACGTTAGAGTAAATAAAATACGAGTGGTTTTATTAGTATGAACAGCAGATAATTATAGTACATATTTTGAATATTATAACGAGTGTGGTTATTATTGTAAACAAGATGGAAGTTTGTTTTCGTCGCTCTCACGATAATTGAATCTATGAAACTTTATCTTCGCACTTAAGTGGCAAAATTAGACCCCTTCGCTTCCTGTTTTGATCACTCGAATACCTTCAGCTATTCAAATATGTTTTTTTTTAGCAATGTTATCAAGTTAACTATCATGGTGGTTATCCGTGACCACATGTCTGATTTTTTTCACGCAGTTCTGATAGTGAACCTAACCTTTAAAACATTTAAACATCAAAGGAACATATCATAAATATTTATACATATTTCAATTGGTACGTTTAAAATTAAGTTCAACGAATGCAATTTACCATTAGATTCTATTTCAAGGAAACGTAAAGAGGATATTCCCTCTGTAATTACTTCCTACATCCGGTATTTCGTTGCTCTGAGCCTGTAATTCCTTTCGAACTACGTAAAGTTCGATCAACGCGTGCAGAATGCAAACGACCAAACAAGTAAGAAGGCTTGCCTTCCTGGAGCGAGTCAAGGCTACTTGCTTCGGATAAAGAGTGCAGAACGGTGCTTGAAATTCGATCCGCATGCGTATTCTATCTTCCTCGCTCGTACCTCGGACCCTAAGGAATAAAAAAAGGTCCCAGTCCATCTAACCTAACCTAACCTTTAACGACTTCTTCGATCTTGGATGAGTAAATAAAAAGTGGTCAACACTGGCTATCTATATGTTTTATCCGCTCGAAAACAAACACATTAGCCATCCCATGAGTTCATCATGCTTCTGGGATAATCTAATAAAAAGTTATATAAAAAGACATACTTTTACGTGACCGGTGCGAAATGTGTTAATTTATGAGTATCGTCTATTGAATTTCAGACTCAATACTGCAGTACTCCATAAACGTCACTCCAGTTAAACAATAGCTCATTCAACAATAGTCTGACAGTTCTAGAACGATCAGTAGCCTTACATTACGGGAAAGCATCAATACTTTCCCAAAATACTCTTCAAATTACAAATTTGAAAAATACAAAATACCAACCACAGATTCTTACTTGCACACTTTCCATCAGAAATTCAATCTTATCTTTATTGCAATAATCTTATCGTGTATTGGATCATGTTACTTTCTACTTTTACAATACTGATAATGGATGTTACTCAATTTCCCTTTTGTTCATTTGTAGTATCGACTCGCAATACATGATTTAGTAACCCAACACTTCTTCCTTTTCTTATATTCCCTTTTGTTTCTCATTCCTGGCTTTTGTTTCCGTTGAACAATGCTCCATTTGAATACCATATGGTACTATTATCGAGCATATTTGTACATAAATTCTACATAATCGTAGATGATTTTTTTTATAAATTAATTTGTTGTGTTTTCGAATTTAGTAGTAAATCATATTTTCACTACTTTAAAATATTGTCCAATCTTTTCACGAGAGTAAAAAGATTTGTCTTCTCAAGTAACGTTTTAACGTGGTTAAAAACTCTGATCACAAACTAACCATCGAGCCTCAAAAACCGTCACGTACAGCTCGCAAAGCATCCCATTCGCATTACAGAACCATTCCCCAAGCAATTTGCAATTCTACGCAGGCCACGACCGCCTACGTCAATGCATCTCGCAGGATCATAACGATACACCGAAATCGATATATGACCAACTTTCAAGTACATCCATACGTCACATTCTACTTGTATCACGAAGTAAATTTACGCTACAGACTGAATGCTGATTTTATCCAGCTACGGCCGAGGGATAAGGCAATTTTCTCCACGCCTACGCCACTGTAGGTACGTTTCATAAGATCGAGCTAGAGGCAAGTGTAATATCATCTAGAACCAGCCAAGTATACATATACGTATACACAGAACAGGCTAGCATAGAACCTCTCTAATGGTGCAAGTCGAATAAAAACCAGACGAGTCGGTTGTTATACACGTTGGCGTGCGCACGAATTAACGTGTAGACTGAAGTAACGGTGTTGGCCTCAGTATCCCAAGAACAGGAGGTGGGGAAAGAAACGGAAAGGAAAAGGGTCAGATTTCACGATGTTTCTCGTCTCAGCACAACTTGTAACGGTTATTGGAAGTGTATTTAGGAAAAAATGTGACAAGTGAATTGTTTCTCATTTAGTGATAAATATTGATAAATATAACTTCTATACGCGACAAATTTCCTCCATGCATCAATCTTCGACTTTGACCCACCAAACTCGATACCTTTGTGCGTTTTAACGAAAAACAGGTTCGCACTTTCCGTTGATTGCTCTCTTTGTGCGTATCGAGTGGAAAATAACCTGTCGTTTTCAACACACGCGAATCGCTCGACTCTCGCCGGCGTTTCTCGTTCGTCAAGTGTATAAAACGGAATAAAAATAGTCCATCGTTGAAACTTATTTCGACGCGTTCCAAAGCAACTTTGCACGTAACTTCTTTTTTTCGTTATTTTTATCAAGTGATAGAAATGTTTTTATTTGTTGCAGAACCAGTAAAGTCAGTCGTGTTTCGTGATTTTCACTTTTAATAAAATAAATATTTATGAGAAAGTAACAACGTTATACCTCTGAATTTTCACTTAATCTCAAAAAATGATGTAGGAACACTAATGCGTTGCGTTATAAGGGATCCTGTAATTTATATGTAAATCAATGCCACTGTGATTCGATAATGTGCCACAATTGATTTATTAACGGTATAAGTAGAGTAGAGGTCTACGTTCTATCTTTTTGTACCGGTTAAACCGATCCCCTTTCATCAATCAAAAGTTAAAATCCATTAGTTTTATCTGCTTCGAACTTTCTCGAGTTGTCTGATTCTTCAATTTTTTCATATTAAACTATTTATGTATAATTATTTATATCTAATAATGATTCAATATGAAACACAATAACCATTTACACTGCACTGGCGTTGCTACAACATTCATGATATACACCGTAACTTCATTCAAGTTTGATTTATATGAAAATAAAGCGAATTAACAAAAGAAATAAAAGTAATATTTTAACCATATTTTCCATATTTAAAGGGAAGAAATAGAATAAAATAGAGTATCAACTGTTACAAGACGATGAAAGATTGATATTCCAATTTTTTAACGACTATATCATGCCTAGAGTAACTGCCATATGTTCCCATAATTACTAAACGTCCATGTGCGCTCACTAAACGGGCGCAACGAACGCCTGCGAACGAACACGCGAACGCAGATACCACCGGAAGAGTCAATTCAACGGCTTTTCTACGGTGCATTTATTTATGGGACAAAATAGAGCGAGCCGTTTATGCACGTTAATTGATCGTCGGAGCCTGATATGCACACCATACAC